GGCGGAGCAGAGGACCACCAGAGCCAGACAGTAGACCACCACGGCGGAGCAGAGGACCACCACAGCAGAGCAGACGGAGCCGGGACCCATAGCAGAGACTGGGGCCTAGAGAATACAGAGACAGACAACACAGGCAGTGCATTCCTGGTTTCAGGGACACGGCAGGGAACACAAGAAGTTCATCAATGTTCTCTATGGCAGTGACAGAGTTAAAGGGACAGACACAGAGTGCATTATTATTCTCTGGGCTCATGACAGGCAAGTTTAAGGGTTCAAAGATGGGGTTTTGGGCTGTGACAGACAGACAGACAGACAGACAGACAGTTTCCTCGAGAGTGACTGGACAGACAGACAGTTCAACATTAGACTTGTGGACTGTAACAGGACATACGGATAATCCAGAATTAGGTAGGTACATGTGGGAGTTGTGGACTGGCAGACAGATGAAGACCGGGGGCATTGATTGAAACTGGACGGGTGTAGACATTTCAGTAAGTGACATTAGACAGGCAGACAATGTAGAATTTGAACAAACAGACAGTTCAGAGGGGGATGCATTGAGTGACACTAAATTGGAAGATGGTTCAGTCTCAGATGCAACAGAAGCATTTAGACAGACAGACAGGTCAGGTTTAGACTCCTTGACAGAAACAGGCAAGACAGATAGTCCACAATCAGCCACCATGGCTGGTTCAGAACAGGACGAGAGTTCAGAGCTAGCCTTCTCGGCCGGTTCAGAGCAGAACAGAATTTCATAAGTGGCTTCCGTAGCCATGACAGGACAGGCAAAGAGATCACAGACGGCCTTCATAGCCGTGACAGGACAGGTAGAGAGTTCACAGATGGCCTCCATAGCCGTAACAGGACAGGCAGAGAGTTCACAGATGGCCTCCATAGCCATTACAGGACTGTCAGAGAGTTCACTAGTGGATACCACTGACACCACTGGAGGTTCTGCAGCGGATGCCGCCACCTCTGGAGGTTCTACAGTGGGACCATCATGATACGGGGAGAGTTCAATAATGGTTCCTTCGACCGTGACAAGACAGGCTGAAAGTGCGTTGCTGGGCGCCACCACCGTGCAAGGAGCTGAGGTGAGCACCGCCACCTCGGGAGGTTCTGCAGCATGGGCCGCCACCTCTGGAGAAGCTACAGCGGGTGCCATCACCTCGGAGAACATGGCAGCATGCACCACTACCTTGGAAGGATCTGCAGCATCAGCCGCCACCTCTGGAGACATCACAGTGGCCGCCGCCGACTCTAAAGTTTCAGTGGTGGTGTACGCAGCCCAACTACACCATAAAGCAATCCCCATCATGGGAAGCGCTAGAGACAGGGGAAATAGTTCAGGAACTGGAGGGTTTAAGAGCACTGGTTTAGGGATTTACATTTAGTCATTTTGCAGGATGCATTTTGACTCAGGATGATCAGCTGTGATGTGACGTGACTCTGGAAGATCAGCGGTGACGTGACGTGACTCTGGAAGATCAGCTGTGATGTGACATGACTCTGGATGACCAGCTGTGATGTAACGTGACTCTGGATGACCAGCTGGGATGTAACGTGACTCTGGATGATTAGCTGTGATGTGACGTGACTCTGGATGATCAGCGGAGACGTGTCGAGGCTCTGGCAGGTCAGCTGTGACGAGACGAGGCTCATGAAGATCAGCTGTGACTTGAATTGGTTCATGAAGATCAACTGACTCAACCGTGACTTGACTTGACTCACGAAGATCAGCTGTGACTTGACTTGGCTCAAGAAGATTAGCTATGACTTGACTTGGCTCACGAAGATCAGCTGTGACATGACTTAGCTCACAAAGATTAACTGTGACTTGACTTGGCTCATGAAGATCAGCGATGACGTGACTTGACTCTGGCAGATCAGCTGAGGCGTGACGAGACTCTGGAAGATCAGCTGTGACTTGACATGACTCACGAAGATTAGCTGTGACTTGACATGGCTCATGAAGATTAGCTGTGACTTGACATGGCTCATGAAGATTAGCTGTGACTTGACATGATTCACGAAGATTAACTGTGACTTGACATGACTCACGAAGATTAACTGTGACTTGACTAGACTCATGAAGATCAGCCGTGACTAGACTTGCCTCATGAAGATCAGTTGTGACTTGACTTGACTCATGAAGATCAGTTGTGACTTGACTTGACTCATGAAGATCAACTATAACTTGGCTTGACTCATGACGATCAACCGTGACTTGACTTGATTCATGAAGATCTGTTGTGACTTGACTCGACTCATGACGATCAACTGTGACTTGACTTGCCTCATGAAGATCAGCTGTGATTAAACTCGACTCATGACGATCAACTGTGACTTGACTTGCCTCATGACGATCAAATGTGACTTGACTCGACTCATGAAGATCAACTGTGACTTGACTCGACTCATGACGATCAGCTGTGACTTGACTCGACTCATGACGATCAGCTGTGACTTGACTTGACTCATGAAGATCAGCTGTGACTTGATTTGACTCATGACGATCAGCTGTGACTAGACTTGACTCAGGAAGATCAGCTGTGAGTAGACTTGATTCAGGAATGGAAGCTGTGACATAACGGGGCACTGTTGTGTCCGCCATTTTGCAATCAGGCTCCTCTGTCGCTGCCATTTTGGTCACAAACGCGGTGTCGCATTTCTCCTCCGCGACACCCACAGTGGATGAAGCGTTAACACACGGCAGAGCATAGTCCATAAACTGACTTAGAGATGAACGCAGACCCTCGTGAATGAGTTTAGACTTTAGTGGTTGATTAATGCCCTCACAGAAAAAGTCTATCAACACACAGTCCGGGAAATCAGAGTAATAAGCAATGTCTAGATACTCTTGAATATGACTCTCAAGCGATCTTGTGCCCTGCTCGAGAGCTAATAGCATTATAGCTGTGTCCATTCCTGGCCAGAGTCCTTTAGAGAAGCTGCTGGATCCTCGTGTGGCTGAGTATTCTGTTACGGGGCAAACAAGACGTGAGGCGTGCGGATCCATGTGCAAAGCTTTATTCTGAAACAGTCAAAACAGGCAAGGGTCGGACAATGGCAAACAGGTATATAGAGGGCAAGACTGAAGAGTAATCTGAAACACAAGCGATGGTCCAGGCAAGGAATAAACAGTATCCGAACAGGGCGAGACGAGAGGGGTAATCCAAGACAGGCGATATACTTCAGGGCAGGCAGAGATCATACAGAAACAAGATATACAGGCTAGGATCAAAACACGAAATTACTAAGGCAATAAACAGGATAAACTAGACTTAGACTCAGAACTAGAAACTCAAACTAGGACCGGGAACTGGCTCCGTAAAGTAGCTATCGCACGATGAGCGATAAGCGATAAAACAGCATAGATGCTAAACAATACTTGGCAGTTTGAAAGGGATCTGAGTGAGTGTTATATAGTGAATGTGTGATTGGTTACAGCTGTGTGCAATTAGTGCAATGGATGATGGGATATGGAGTCTGGGATGACATGCAACAGTTTGTGTAGTGCGAGAGTCAATGTAATGGAAGGGTGACCTCTGGTGGTGATCGAATGGAAGTCCATGGACAGGATTCGTGACACAGAGTGTGTCTGCCTCCCGAACAATGCTAGGTAGTGTAGCATTTGAACCAATCAGACACACAACTATTTGTTATATTTAACAAATAATCTCTAATGCCCCCTTCACCTAACCAAAGGGCCAACTATGAGGGTCTATGGACACTTCCCCGAAATGCAACTAACACCTCAAAAGGGCAGAACAGGCCTCTGGTTCCATGGCAACCAAAGACAAACCATCTGATCACACAAGTTTTATTGCTCAAAGGAATGTGGGTAGAGCACAACTCACAATTAATTTACCCTTAGGAAAGACACACAATGTCTATAAAAATTTACTCTTCTCTAATTAATTCATAGGAAAACCTTTCTGTGAATGAACACACATCTCCTCAGGACATTGTGTATCCCATTACTGTTCTTGTATATTGTCTTTTGAATTGTATACTGTTTTGTGTGGTGTTATGATAGGTCACTAGTTAATATAACCCCACCGATACTATGTTTGGTCTCTTTGAATTTGTCTTCTGATGATCAAAACGAGAGTGTATATTATATGTTGGTACATAGGCAATATATTAGTGTTCAAAGAATCTTTAGCAATTTTGCATCAACACCCAACCGAGTTCCATATGCAAATTACCATGCTCTCACACAAAGGGTCATAAAACTCCCCAGTATTTCCAACCTCCCGCTTGGAATTTCAGCTTTTCTCATTGGACAAGCCCATCCTGAGAGGCGTAAATCTTCTCAGACCTTAAAAGGCTCACGCACAGTTCCGCCCAAATTTGTTTATTCTGCTTAGTCTTCTGCTAAAACCTTCTGATTGCGGCCCGTGTGGAGAGCCTGAGCCGGTGCGGGCGTGCCCGGTGGGCTCCAACACATAGCCAGTCAGTCTGCGGTTCTGTTAGATTCTGTGAAGATGAGGATGTGAGCTAGCACCCTTCTAAGGACACCCTAAGTTCCTGCCAGGCCTGCGGCCTTGTCTTTCCATTCACCAAAGATCCTCGGATCTCAGCTGTCTCTCTTGGCTCTTTTTCACTTTCCACTGGGAAAAAACTCCCAATCACCATCGAGTCAGAACATCTTTGGAGTTCATCACTCTACAAACAAAGGTGATCGCAACTCCTACACCACCGAAGCTCCAAACCATCAAGACTTTCATCCGAGACTGCATCCGTACGCTTGTTCCAAGCCAAGGCAATGCAAGTATCGTACATTTAACTAAACGGTTTAGTATAAGCTGTAGACCCCATTCTAAAACGGTGCTGATGGTTTCACTCAGGTGGTTAACTGACTCTTTTCATAGCTTCATTCTCTGTTTTTTCCTGATGGCTTCATCCATCAAGCCTCATTTGCCCTTTCCCATGTATGAGTGATTGTTTGTTTGTTGAACTTACACTGAATATTCGCTGGACGAACAGATTGGTTGATGGCAATTTAATTCTGCTACAGTTACTACTGGCAGCTGATATAAATATTTGTAATTAATCATACTTAACTGTAATTATTTATATACATTTCCCTTTTGAGCTAATTTGCTACAGTAGATTGTTCCAGAGTTTGGGCACTAAATAGGAAAAAGATCTGCCGCCCGCAGTTGATTTTGATATTCTAGGTATTATCAAAATGCCTGAGTTTTGAGAATGCAGCGGACGTGGAGGACTATAATGCAATATGAGCTTGCTCAAGTACTGATGAGCTAACCCATTCAGCGCTTTATAAGTAATAAGCAAGATTTTAAAATGTATTCACTGTTCAATAGGGAGCCAGTGCCAGAACCGGGCTAATATTGTCATACTTCCTGGGTCTAGTAAGAACTCTAGCTGCTGCATTTTGGACCAGCTGGAGATTTAAGAGTGCAGAGCAACCACCCAATAAAGCATTACAATAATCTAACCTTGAGGTCATGAACTCATGAATTAACATTTCTGCATTTGACATTGAGAGCATAGGTCATAATTTATTTAGAAATGTGGCTTTCATAGGAAAGATTGCTATCAAATAGCACACCTAGGTTCCTAACTGATGACGAGGAATTAACAGAGCAGCCATCGAGTGTTAGACAGTGTTTTATGTTATTACATGCAGAGGTTTTTGGTCCAATAATTAACACCTCTGTTTGTTCAGAATTTAAAAAATCCAGCCTGACCTGCAGCAGTTTGCATACAGAGCAAACAGGTCTATGGAGGACACCATCACCACAGCCCTTCACACTGCACTCGACCACCTCGAACTCCAGGGAACCGAAGTAAGAACTCTCTTCATAGATTACAGCTCAGCGTTCAGTACGATTCTAACAAATTAACTGAACTCTGTCTCTCTCCTTCCATCTGCACCTGGATAAAGCACTTCCTCAATAAGCGCTGTCAGATTTGGCCCCCAGCTCTTCTCCAGCATCACTCTCAGCACTGGCGCTCCACAAGGCTATGTATTGAGCCCTCTACTCGTTCTACCAACACCATCGTCAAATCTGCAGACGATACTAAAGTAATTGGACTTATCTCAGGAGAGGATGAATCAGCCTACAGAGATGAAGCCCAGAAACTAGAGGTGTGCTGCTCTGATAACAACACCTCCAAAACAAAAGAGCTCATTCTGGACTTCAGGAGACACAGCGTTGAGCCCCACTCTACATCAACTGGACTGAGTGGAAAGGGTCCACACCTTCAAACTCCTGAGAGTCACATATCCGATGAGCTCTCTTGGTCTGTTACACCTCAGCAACAATCAAAACAGCACAGCAACGGCTGCACTTCCTCAGAGTGCTCAGGAATAACAGCTTGGAGTGTGAGCAGCTGGTGTCCTTTTACCGCTCCACCATTGAAAGTGTGCTAGTGTACTGCATCTCGCTGTGGGAGTCCAGTTGCACTGCAGCAGACAAGAGAGGAGAATCAACACAGCCCAGAAAATCACTGGCTGCTCATCCCCTCCCTGGAAATCATCACTCGCTCCCACTGTCTCTCAAGGGCCAAGAACATCCTCAAAGACACGTCACACCCAGCACAGCACCCGTTCAATCTGCTGCGCTCAAGAAGCCGCTACAGATCCTTAAGAAAAAGGAGTGCTTGCTTACAGGACAGTTTCTTCCCGTTTACTGTCAGGACTTTAATGCACTAATGTAGAGGCACTAAAGTCAGTGTTAAAATACTATTTCCAGTCACATTATTCAACTACAGTCTCTTAATTCATTTCTTTTTCTGTCTATACTGCTGTTTTTATGCAATATGCAGAATGTCAAGGTGCAATATGATCACCTGGTCACTTTATTTATCAGGACTTTAACAAATGCACTAAATGGGGCGTGTCAATGTGCAAGACTGTATCTGGTCACTAATCACTACTGCCACTTATTCCATTTCAGTTTGCATTTCTTACTGTTTCATATCAGTGTAAAGGTCAATGTGCAGTGCTGTCAATGCTCACTTTACTCAGATTGCTCAGTGTGCAATATTAGGACTGAGTCACTTGTTGTATATACTTTTAAAATTGTACTGTACAGTCTATAATCTTATTAAGTCTGTGGTTACATGTTAATTTCTCCTAATTTCAATGTATGCAGAAAATACAATGACAATAAAGGCTTTCAATTCAATTCAATTTAATTCAAAAGCTTTGTTGAGAAATTTAAAACAAAGTAAAAAAAGCAAACATAACACTTCAAAGCTTTCAGATATTAAAGCTAAAGTTATAAAATTACTTTTTCCTTATGCGAATACAATCAGGAGACAATAAAAGTTGTTGATAAAATATAAAAGGTAAAGATAATGTATTAATAAAAAGGTAACATTTAATCAATAATTACTGAAAGTAAATTTGGAAACTAATAAGATGGATCTTTCTCTCCTACTGACTTACAAGTAGGGATGGGTATCATTAAGGTTTTAACGGTATTTCTATTCTTGCGACACTGCACATCAGTCTGGTTCTTTAAAGGTATTCTTTCTCTTTTTTTATGAAAAAGGGCCCATTTAATACCGGGTTCAAGTACCATCCCTACTTACAAGAGAAGCACAGAAGGAAACAGTTTCAAAGCTACATGACAGTATTTCTTGCATCTGCGTTTTCTAAATACATCATAAGTGGAAAAATAACTAGACATTTTAAAAACAACAGTGAATAACAAGTTAAAAATAAATCTCAGTCTCTTTTAAAAGTGTTTATTTTTCAGCTTCCTGAACAAGAACGGTTTGTAAAAAGCTTCTACTTTCCTTCATGAAAGAATAAGCAAACTACAAGTGATGCATATGCATTATAAGACAACTGAACATAATATGAAACTCATAAGAAAACACAATTATATAATCTATAACATTAAGCAAAATGATACACAAGAATAAACCTTTCTGACATTGTTCTTTGGGGTGGAACTCCATCTTTGAGTTGAGCTGAATCTCACAGTTGAATCTGCTGGTTTTGAAGATGAAGATGAACTTTATTCACTGTGAAACTTTAGATAATGTTTCTTTGTCGTGTCGCTTATAATGACTGGTTAGGACAGATTTATCCAGATGATATTTTATTGCTTGATGCATTATTGTGTCTCATTTGGTGAGGACGCAGCATCAGACCTGAAAGTGCTGATCTGAAGATGATCTACTTACTGTGATTGTTTTTCATATGTCTGTGTAGAGCAGATGATTGATTGAAACACTTCCCACATGCAGTGCAGTGATACGGGTTCTCTCCAGTGTGGATCCTCTCGTGTCTTTTCAGATGTCCTGAATCACTGAATCTCTTGTCACAGTGTGAACACTTGTAAGGTTTCTCTCCAGTGTGAATCCTCTCGTGTCTTTTCAGGATTCCTGATTCACTGAATCTCTTGTCACATTGTGAACACATATAAGGTTTCTCTCCAGTGTGAATCCTCTCATGCAGTTTTAAACAGTATGCTGAAGTAAAAGTCTTTTCACACTCAAAGCACATGTACTCTCTCACACCAGTATGTATTTTCTGATGTACTTTCAAACTTTGTAGACATGAAAAACTCTTTCCACACAAATAACATGAATGCGGCTTTTCCTTTGTATGAACTCTCATGTGTTTAATCAGGTATGATGCCCTCAAAAATGTTTCGCCACATTGATCACATGTGTGCCACTTCTCTCTAGTGTGGATGTTCATGTGATCCTTAAGGCTTGCTGAATGTGTGAAAAACTTTCCACATTGATCACAAGTGAACGGTTTCTCTCCGGTATGAACTCTCATATGCTCCATAAGGTTTCCTTTTTTGTGCAAAACTCTTCCCGCATTGATCACATGTGTACGGTTTCTCTCCAGTGTGGATCCTCTCGTGTCTTTTCAGGATTCCTGATTCACTGAATCTCTTGTCACATTGTGAACACATATAAGGTTTCTCTCCAGTGTGAATCCTCTCATGCAGTTTTAAACAGTATGCTGAAGTAAAAGTCTTTTCACACTCAAAGCACATGTACTCTCTCACACCAGTATGTATTTTCTGATGTACTTTCAAACTTTGTAGACATGAAAAACTCTTTCCACACAAATAACATGAATGCGGCTTTTCCTTTGTATGAACTCTCATGTGTTTAATCAGGTATGATGCCCTCAAAAATGTTTCGCCACATTGATCACATGTGTGCCACTTCTCTCTAGTGTGGATGTTCATGTGATCCTTAAGGCTTGCTGAATGTGTGAAAAACTTTCCACATTGATCACAAGTGAACGGTTTCTCTCCGGTATGAACTCTCATGTGAACATCAAGACTATATTTGCTTGTCAAACTCTTTCCACACTGAGTGCAGGTGAGAGATTTCTTGGCTCTTCTTTCTTTAAATTTTTTCTGTTTGGTTTGAGAGCGAGTTTTTTCTCTGGTTTTTGCATGATTTCTTTCCTCAACTTCTCTCAATTCTTCACTCTCCTCATTTTCTTCAATCAACTCTGAAATAAAAGTAAAAACTGTTCATTTTCAGGAACTCATAAAAAAAACTGAGAAATATGAAAGAACATAAAAGTGAACCCTGTAATAACAATTGCTATACAAAATGTTGATCGTTATGATGCATTTTCACAAATGATACATCCCTGAAACTTTCCATGAATGAGGTACATTGACCTTCCAATTATTATTTTTTTTAAATTATAGGCACAAATCCCATGTTTATAGGGAGAACTATTAAATATGTTTGATCAACTACACAATTATCTAACATACTTTTTTGGGGGTGAAAGTACCCAGTTTGTAGAAAGTGTCCCTTTTTATTTGATGCTTCAGCACGATTATTCAACAGCTCTAAAGATTTATCCTATTACAACAAAAATCATCATTAATGAAGAATCAAGAGTAAACACCAACTTGTTTGTTCTTCAGAATCTTCAGTGTGTTTCATTCTGCAAGGTTTGTGGGAGGAGCTTCACAGATGATGTGATTATTTGTGGGAGGAGCTTCACTGATGACAGGCCAATTGAGGGAGGAGCTTCACTGATGGCAGGATTGTTATGGGAGGAGCTTCACTGATAACATGATTGTTGTGGGAGGAGCTTCACTGAACATGAATTTCTCTGTGGAAGAAACAGATTTGCCAAAATCAACAATAAATCAGTTTTTGAATTTTTAAAACTGATTTAAACATGTAAGCATTTATGTACATGAAGTAGAAGAGACAGGAGCCTTACAAATACATAGTGTTGTCTTTTTGTAACTCATTATATTACTATACTAAAAGAAACAGCGTAGACACAAAGAGCACATCAGTTTAACCCCTTTGCTGTCACCTCCCATTTTCGGCATGGAGACTCAAATGACATACCCAAAATATAAAGGTTGCTGCTCATCAGTCTTTCTGACTAGATACATAATCAACATGTTCACAAAGCTGATACTTCAAAGTTTACTGTTCAAGAATCAGAATTACTCCGAATGTTATGATAATAGAGATATATAAGCTCAAACATAAAAACAAAAACAAAAATATAAAAAAATATGTTTTTTAAATGTATAAAATGTTGCTGTGGTAAATGTCTTTAGAAACACAATGAAGATAAAGCCACAAGTCTACTAATGCTTCATTTCAAATTTCAGGACATAATCTCTAAAACTGTGAATTTTATGAAACATTTTCTAAGACCATGTCATGTGTGTTTTTAGAGCAGGCTAATACAATTGATTTATGGCCCCCTGTAAGCTCTCCTGAGTGCAGTAGCCTCATGTCTGGCCTGGCAAACTGCCCCATTCATGATGCTATTGTTGTCACTTGACGAACCTTTCACACCTCTGCCAGGTATGTGTCAGACTCTGTTCCGTGTCTGTGTGTGTTTTCTTCCCCCACGTGCTCCATATTATGTTTATTGGTCCCAGGTGTTCCCCCATTAGTTTTCTTGATTAGTCCCATGATTTAAGTCCTGTGTGTTTCCAAGTCTAGCGTGTTGTCTTGAATGTCGATCCCGTGTTCTACGTGCGTTTCCCTTGATGTCATTAAAGACTGTTAAATCCTGATTCTCCTGCGTTCTCCTCGTTCCTCGTCCCTTGCTCCTTGTTCCTCACTCCTCACCATAGGCACCCTGTAACAGAAAATAAGAGGCGCTCCTTCTCCCCGTTTTGTTTTCGTTTTTGAAAAGTCTTTTTGTTTTCCTGGTTGTTTCTCCCCGCGATGATCATGAAAATCGCCGCTTGTTTCGCCGCCTTAGCCCGCAGAGATCTCCCCTTCCGCTACGAAGTCGGCCGCTGCAACGACACACACGCCGACTGCCCAATTCACTCGTAATCAGAAGAGGAGGAAGAGGAGGAATGGATGGCTCAGGACCCTCTTCCTCATCCGAGTGCGCCCCCCAGAGCTCGCTCCAGTGTCGGCTCGGGCCCCAGAGCTCGCTCCAGTGTTGGCTCCAGCCCCAGAG